AAGCCAATGTTTAATTTGGATTATTATGCCAATAAGATCTGGGTGAATAAAGATATGCAAAGTGCAAGACTGTAAATTAATGGGAAAAAAAAAAAACCCGTCTCCCATTTGAAACAACACACACGCACAATCATATGCACACACACACACATACACACACCCACACACCCAATTAAGATTCTTGGCCACGTAGATTTATGGCATTTATATATTTTGTTCCTCTGGGTGTGAAAAAGTGAAGGAGGGTGTCCCTAAGATTCTTCCTTTAAATTTTTTTCCTATATATGGAAAACATGTCTAAAATCCTGGTGGGAAGCAACTTCCTCCAGTTCAAAGAAATGGTTAGAGAGAATATTTGTTACTGGGTACTAAGAAACACCAGTCTGGAAAATTCCCACTCAGTTCTTCCCCCAGTGCTTCGTGGTTCTCCCATTGGCTCTTGGGCTTGGGAAGCTTCATAGTCAATATTTTCCAAAAAGGATGCCAGTCTTTCTTGTCCCTTTTTTTAGAGAGTGAAAAAGAATATCTAAGTAGTACCAAAGAGCGTCTGAGCTGAATTTGGAGTTTGGGAAATCAGCCTAGATGGGCGGCTTAAACCAGAATGTTGATGTCAGGAGGAGGGGATGCAACCAAGTGAGATTTCCAAGACCCACTTTCAAAAGTTCTCAAGTCAGTTATGCAGCATTCTTAATGCTGAAGTCGGTCCTTTGCAAAAGTACCCCCATGTAAGAAAACCATCAGGTTATAGATCATTCTGAAGAATCAACACAGTGTCACAGGCTGGTGACAGGCTGACATCTAAGGTCATGGACCAGTTTTCTTTGGGGGATGCTCTCATAGAGTGTAAGAGTTGCATCAGCAAAATGTCATTGAAAGCTGTCACCAAATACAACAAACGAGGCAGAGCACTGCTTATTCATGCACCGATGGCCCAGTAAATTGAGAGTTCTCAATGACTGCTGAAGGCAACATCAGAATATTGGATTAAAGTAGCTTCTTGGTCCAAACACAGATATGTAAAGCCCTACAGAGAATGGCAATGCCAGGCTTCTTCATAACTGTGATGTTCAGCAATTTCCTAGACATTTTTCTTTCTTGAACTATTTATTTTTTTTAATGTTTATTTGTTTATTTTGAGAGAGAGAGAGAGAGAGAGAGAGGGCACAAGCGGGGGAGGCACAGAGAGAGAAAGAGAGAGAGAGAGAGAGAGATTGAGAGAGAGAATCTCACGCAGGCCCCTCGCTTTCAGTGCAGAGCCCTGGACGGGGCTTGATCCCATGAACTACAAGATTGTGACCTAAGCCGGAATTAAGAGTCAGAGTCTCAACTGAGTGAGTCACCCAGGCACCCTTCTTTCTTGAACTATTTTAGTCAAAGTCCTATGGCAGTACCTGTCACTTACAAATACTGGAAAGCAGGTGTAAACAGAAAGTCAGTAACAAGGACGTGTAGCATGAAGACTGATATCCGCTTTTATAAGAAGATAATCAACAATTAATGAACGTGAAATGCTCAATGGCAATAGTGGTTTTCAGCATAGGCTCCGAGTCATAGGGACCAGGGATCTAGTCCCACCTCCTTCACTTACTTGAACTATGACCTTAGGATATTATTTGACATCTCTGAACCTCAGTTTCCTCACCTTTAAAATGGGAACAATAATAATTCCTATTCTGTGGGATGGTAGAAAGGATTAAGTTGAATGGTATAAGTAAAGCACTTTACTACAGTGCCTGGCATATAATAAATTATGAAACTATGTTAGCTACTTTTATAATAATAATAATTATTATTATCAACATTACTAGTTATAATTAGAACATGCTTTTCAAAAGAGATCACTTTGAATTTAACTTGTATGCCATCTGATCTGGAAGTATAATGAGGGTATCCAATTCCTACTGATTTAGTGAGTCAAACAGAAAACCAAAACAAATTGAATCATTCAACTGGTGTATTTAGAATTGCTGATGATTATAGCATTCATGAAAGTTAGTGAAATACATAAATTGCAATTGAACTGTTCTTGAAAATCCCCAAATCAGTTTTCATTTGTCTAGCCTAATGGTGGGTAGGACTTGTTCATTTTTTAAAATGTATATTTAGAACCATCTAAATAAGAAACATTGTGGAATGTGAACATGGAGGAAATAAAAGGTGTTAATACAATGAGACTATGCCAAAATCATGTATGTTCCATCTTTGAATACAAAAGAATGCATTGCTTTCACATACCGTTTTATGCTTTGCATGGAATTATCTATCACTCATTGCCACTTTATTTCCTTGCTCTCTCTCTCTCTCTCTCTCTCTCTCTCACACACACACACACACACACACACAACACACACACACAACACACACACACACGCGCACACACACACACACACACACACACAGAAAGGAGGCTACAATGTACATAGTCAGCCTCTTTGTACCCAGCACTGATTCTCTTCTAAGTCAGCTCTGCTGTCAGAGATCAGTGTGCATATAGATGGGAAGGTCTGACGTTAGCACCAAAGTTATGGGGTCGCTCCAGAGATTTCATTCAAAGGATAATCTGATTAACAAAATTTTGAGGCAGACCGGTATATGCATTCTTTTATCATCTAATTCAAAACCTCCACAACACAACTTGGATGAAATCGCCAGTATCAAAGGTCCTAATGTAGCATAATTTGTGTTGAGCATGCTGCATTGTGACAGTGCTATAAACCAGGGAGACAGTTTACTGACAATTCTGTGCTACCAGATACCAACTCAGGCCTCTGTCCAGCTTTACATTGTCAACTCTCATGGAAACATGAGCAGCTACACAGCCTCAGAGGACGCTGAAGTCTGGATTGCAAAAGATGAGATGGACAGATTTCATATTTTCATTGCAGATTTTTTTTTTGCCTTTTCAAACTGCTGAGCATAATTTTTTTAAAAGGCAGGAAATGCAACTAGTGTTTGTTTCTAGCATGGCTTCTGTTTTGAGATTTCTTCTTTGTAGAAGAAATGTGTTGCCCAGCTGTCTAGAATCCCAATCAGGATATGGCTTCAGTATGAAATATATTAAAAGAATGATTTTAGCTGGTTATAAGCAGGAACGAAAATGAGGCTAGGGCTTTTTTATCCAATTTTTACTCACAGAGGGGGCATTCTGGTTCAGTCCAATGGGGCCACTATGAATAAATGAGGTAAAGCTTAGTTCTGTTTTTGGGGTTTTTTACCCCCCCCCACCCCAGAAGGAGAGTAATTGTGAAACACAAAGGTTCACATTAGTGAGCAAACAGAGCTGAGGAGATTCTCAGTTACAAAGATTCTCAGAAATAAGAATCATGTGTCCACTGGCCAGAACTATTGCATTCAACTCTTAAAAGGGCGGTTCAACCCAAATTACACTGTTGGAGGATTTAATGCTTCTCTGTATTAATACTTCTCCTATTTGCAACACACACATATACACAAACATTATTCAACATGCATTAATTAAGACCTCCCTTTATGCACACCCTAGGGCTACTATTGGTTAATGGGGGAAGAGACAAAGATGATTCAAATCCTAACTTTTAAGATGTATAGAGATTTTTTGACCAGTTTTTCTTTTCTTAACCAACTTACGATGTTTGGGTCTGCTTGTTTCCTGTAACATTTCCTATTTTTATTTTTTAGAATTCATAGCTTTTTCTAAAAGAAGTTTCAGGTTTACAGAAAATCTGAGTGGGATATATACAATTCCCATATACCCCTCTACCCTCCACCCCAACACACAATTCCCTTATTATTAACATTTGCATTAGTGTGGTACATCTGTTACAATTGATGAACCAATATTGATACATTATTATTAAGTACAGTCTATAGATTAAGGTTCACTCTTAGTGTTGTATATTATATAGATTTGACAAATATATACTGACATGTATCTGCCATTATAATATCAGACACAATTGTTTCATGGCCCGAAAACTCCCCTGTGTTCAATGAGTCATCCCTCCCTCTGTCTACATCCTTTGCTACCACTGATCTTTTATGGTCTCCACAGTTTCGCCTTTTCCAGAATGTCATATAGTTGGGGTAGTACAGTAGACTGCCTTTGCAAAATGGCTTGTTTCACTTAGCAATATGCATTTAAAGGTCCTCCAAGTCTTTTCATGACTTGATAGCTCATTTCATCTTATCACCAAAAAGTATTCCATTATATGAATGTACCATAGTTTGTTTACCCATTCACCTATTTATGGACATCTTGGCTGCTTTCAAGTTTTATCAATTATGACTAAAGCTGTTGGAAATATTTGTGCACAGGCTTTTGTGTGAACACAAGTTATGAACTCTTTTGGGTCAATACCAAGGAGCACGATTGCTGGATAGTATGGTATAAATACATTTTCCTAAGAGCCTACCAACTGCCTTTCCAAGTATCTGTATCATTTTGCATTTCAACTAGCAATGAATGGGGATTCCATACCCTTGTCAGCACTTGGTGTTACCAGCGTTTTAGCCTTTGACCATCCCGATAGGCGTTCGGTAGTATCTCATTATTGTTTCCATTTGTAATTCTTTGATGATACATCTATTTCCTAATTTTTAATTCTTTTACTTACCTATTACATATTTTTCTAACGTCTATTATTTTGACTTTGATGTTCCCATCATTCATTTATTCAAGTACTTATCCACATGGATTAAGTGTTTATTATATGCCAGTAGCATTTTTCAAAGCTAGGTTACTTTTCTTTATTTTACCCTTTTATTATTCTTTTTTTTTAATTTTTAGTTTGCCATTTTCCACTAATTATTCATTTCACGTAAACTGTTAGTTGGTTTTTCTGTCTATTAATCTCCAAGTAAGCGGGCTATCTGTTATTTCTCTGGTGACAATTGCTTACTCAACTTTCTCTTGTTCTCTTCAAAGTGTTTATCATTATAGATTCATAATACATACAGCACAGAGTCTGAAATATCGTTAGAGATGAAACTACTGAGAAAAATGAAGTGAAGAAATCACTTACCTTGGTTGACAATAAATCTTAACTTCTGTATTGTCGCCAGATTGCCACTAACTCGGTATATTCCATCAACATCTAGACCTGAAAATAAAAGGGCATGTTTTATATTTGTCCATAAAAGAACTGAAAGGATAAAAGAAAAAAATTAATAAATGTGAGAAGGAAGGAAATAGTAAATCAACACGAAATATCCCTTCCTCACAGAGAAAACAAATTTCTGTTCTACACCAAGCAATCTTAATAGTTTAATTTCAACAAACTAATCATAAAATTCAGTCATAGTTAATCATCAACAAATTTAAGTCTAGTTGAATCATAGAAGACCAATAGGTAGCATTGGATTTGACACTGTAGTTAAGGTTCATTCCCCAGGAAAAGGCATGAATTAAACTAGTGGTGGACAGGAGAAGAACCTTTACATATACATTATTGCTCTTTTTTGAACAGAAAATAACCCAAGGCATTTGTGAAGTCTCCCTTCCTCTTTCTCCTTCCCTCCCTCCAGTCTATTCTGTTCTGTTCTATTCTATTCTATTCTATTCTATTCTATTCTATTCTATTCCATTCCATTCCATTCCATTCCATTCCATTCCATTCCATTCCATTCTATTAATCCTATCCTATCCTATCCTATCCTATCCTATCCTATCCTATCCCATTCCATTCTCTTTTTCTTATAATCACTATAAGGTAAGGTGCATTGGTCTGATTATTTGAAACTACAGAATGAAAATCCGATTCCAGATGTATCATTAGCCTGATAATCTCTAGTGTATTATAGGTAAAGGGAGTGTTCTGTTATGTAGGGAAAATAAAGAAAAAATTTTCGATGACAAAATGGTGAAATTAGTTTCAGATTGTTTTAAAACTGGTTGTCTATAATTCAAAATAACTTATCCTGGCTGTGGATTTGGATAATCAACCACTTGTTTTCCACACATCTATTTATGGCATCTAGTTATTTCCATGACCAAGTTATCGAAAAATGAGGAAACAGGAAAATAGAAAGAGAAACACTTACCAAAACACTATTACACTCCTTAAGGAATATTGATAACATAATTTTAATGTCAAGAATGTATATTTAGTGATGTGTCCAGGCTCTCAGAGAGGCCAGGGATGAGGTTACCACCTATCTCCCTATTTCTCTAGGGAAATGGCATAGCACCATGATTAAATACAGTAATTCACAATCATAAGTATTAAATAAATTGGTAGAAATTATTGTCATAACATAAATAAGGGCTTTGTAAAGCTCTTTACTGACATGAAATAATCTCTTTTATAGTAGGAGCATTTCTGCCATTATGCATAATATTTCATCAGTAGTTTAAGATAGAATAACATAACTTGCAACACTGGTATTTTAAAAAAAATTTTTTTAACATTTTAAAATTTATTTTTGAGAGTAAGAGAGAGAGACAGAGCAAGAGTGGGAGAGGGTCAGAGAGAGAGGGAGACCCAGAATCTGTAGCAGGCTCCAGGCTCCGAGCTGTCAGCACAGAGCCTGACGTGGGGCTTGAACTTACAAACCGGGAGATCATGACCTGAGCTGAAGTTGGACGCCTAACCCACTGAACCACCCATGAGCCCTGCAATGCTGGTACTGATGGTATAATTCAAAACCATTATTCACTACTTTTAAGATTTTATTTTTTTAAGTTTTATTTTATTTATTTATTTTGAGAGAAAGGCAGCGCACAGGAGGGGCAGAGAGAGAATTCCAAGTGGGTTCCTCACTATCAGTGCAGAGCCCGATGTAGGGTTTAAACTCACGAACTGTGAGATCATGACCTGAGCCAAAACCAAGAGTCATACGCTTAACCAACTGAGCCACCCCAGTACCCCTGAAGGCTTTATTTTTCTAGAGCAGTTTCAAGTTTATAGCAAAATTGAAGGTAAGGTACAGAGATTTCCCATATGGTTCCAGTTCTTCATAGACCCATAGCTTCCCCAATTATCAGCAACCTCCACTAGAATGGTACATTTGTTACCACTGAGGAGCCTTCACTGATACATCATAATCAATGTTTATCATTGCACTATGATTCATTCTGGTCTTGTATATTCTGTGGGTTGGAATACGGATAATGACATATATCCATCATTATAGTATCGTACAGAGTATTTTCACTCCCCTACAAATCCTCTCTGCCCACCTATTCATTTTCACGATGTTTGCCCTTGCATGTAATCAACTATAGAGCAATTTGGAGTAATATCAATAAAATGAAATAGCTGTTAGCAAATGTATTAATTGGTTTAAGTGTTGTAATTCTAGAATAATCTAATAATAAATTCTTGAATCTGTGTCCCTTCCTGAGAATTATGAATTTATGAGGAATTACGATGAAGTTGGACATCTATTAGTATGTATGAATGTTTAAGACCCCTCCATTGATCAAAATCACATATATTATTTCTTTCTGGTGCACAAAATAGCTCCATTAATCAAAAGTTACTCTAGTTTGTTTGCTTTTAAGTACAATGTGCATTTGACAATTGAAATGTGACAATAATGTTAATTAAAAATTTTCTAATATTTAATTCCTAGTGTTAGTATTTGACCATATTGGTCTTCGGTTTATACGTATGTACTCAGAACTTCATAATTTATTAACCATTACTTTTCTTGCTTTGTCATTAGATAGTGTTTAGTATTTAAATTTAACCTATAAAATCTTAAAGAATATGATAGATTTAAAAAATATTACAACTTACACATTCAAGCAATGTGTCCTTTAAAGTATTCCCTCTCGGGGTATATTTAATTTTTTCTGAACATGTATCCATTGGGGAAAATATTTTGGAATTCTTCTTTAAAATCACCTTCAGTGGTTCCATATTGTCTGTAGGAAAATGTCGCTGGGGGCAAGTTAAGGGCCTTTGGTAGTAGTTTTGGATTTGGGAACTAGATAAAGGTCATTCAAAACCATGAATGGTGAATAATGCCGTCTTGCTGGCCACCACAAGCAGACAAAATTTCACCAAATGAAAGCGGTCTAGTATTTGCCCATGAGTGATCAGTTTCTCTAAAAGAATCTGAGAAAAAGAATATTTCGGAAAATAGAAACATTGAGGCAACATGCAGATGTACATTCCCCAAGAGAGAAAACTTCACATGCTTTTTAAAGAATCAGTCCTATTAGCTCTACTTAAAATGATGATTCATGGTGAAATGTCACTTAACATCTATTACAATAAAAATGAGAAAATTTACTATATATTTCTTTTTAAATTAATTTTTGTTTTGGACCTTAATCAGAGGTCGGTATTACTTGAATGCACAAACTTTTAATTCAAATAAGAACCTTACATGTCTTACTTTAATATGCATATGTCTTTATTCAAGGTATAAAATCAAGCACATTTCAACTTCTTTTCTAATTATTTTATATGCTATTGTAAATGCACGTGTTGTCTAGGGTTATAACTGAATTTCAATTACTGAAGTTCCCCAATATCCAAAACTTTCTTTTCCTTTTCTAGAAATTTAAAGTTACAACATAAGAAGTACCTTCCCTTGGTGTTCATATTTAGTAGAAGTTTTTTTCTTATACTTTTTTTTTTTTTTTTTGAGTTCAGTAATCAAAAACATTTGAAAGAACAGTATGGGTTGGATACATTACGCTTGGGCAATTGGAAAACACTATACTGTTTAAACAAAGCAGCCTCATCCTAAATTAATAACCCAATTTTCTTTTGGGATAAAAGGAGGGAGGGCTGAGGATGGAGACAGGGAGTATAACTCAGACCAGTGCCACCACTGTGGTTGGAGAACTAAGTCATAGCAGAGAAACTGCTTTGTGGCTTAAGATAGAAACCAGAAAGTAAGAGGGAGTAAAGCAAAACATATTAGATGCAATTTGAATCTAACTTGACACAACTTCCAAGCCCTTTAGAGTCAGAGATATCAACACCATATATCTTGTGAAGGATAACAGTCTCTGACATTAGTGGCTCCTGCTTCAAATGGCTCATGCTCCCCTGCTATCATACTTTTTAAATTACATAAATAGAGTGAAAATGACAAAGTACATATTAAAAAGGAGGGTATTACATTTTGCAAAATAATCTGGAACATATCAGTGAATTTTAGCAGTTATAAATTACATAGGTACAGTCTTGAAGTTGATTAGTTTCCCTCTGAATGCCTCACAGAGTGGCAAACCTAAAGTCCTGGGAATATTACCCAAATTGCAGTGATTCACGTGCCATCCTCTTTTTGCTCCAAGAACTTTGAAAGTTATGCCAAACCAAACCAATGTAAATTGGTGGATTTGGACATCCTTTTCATGACCACATTATCCTTGCTGGATTGGAAACTACTTATTTTGGAAATATAATTAGACCTCGTATGATTTTGAAATGAGCAATGTCTTCAAGGTACCCATGCTGCGCTTTGGTGAAGTTTGGAGAAAAATCACTTTCAAAGGTACTTCTTTCAAGAAAATGCTATGACTGAATGCTGACAAGAACTTTGCTTGTTATGATAAAAATACTGTGGAAACATGGTGAAGCTGAGTCATTTTATTTTATTTATTTTTTTATCAGACTGGCATTAATGGCAGTTATGAAAAACTCTCTGAAGAAATCCATGTTCGCTGAAATATCATTTATTTGTTCATCTTCAACTGACCTTCTTAGGTTTCAAAACAGTGTTTACCGTTGACAGAGATGACTGGGTATTGCTGTAGGAAATTTTAAGAAGTCTCTCTCCTCCACCTCCCACCTTCTCTTAGGAAGCTTAGACTAGGATAGACACACAATTAGGAGTTATTAGACCAAATGGTGGTCTAAACCCAGTGGAAAGAATGCAGCTGTCATGAGTAATTCCCACTATAAATCTTAGACACTTTCCAAAAAGAAATCTAAGAGACCAGCACTGTTTCCAGAGTTGACTGGTTTATCTGCCAAAATACAGGCAGGTTTTAACAATGCAGATGAGCCTGTTAAAAATAGTTGCAAACTGTGGATTAGGTAGCATTCCTGGTAGCTTGAATGATGGACAAACCACGAAGATGTAGAATTTGAGCCTGGTTGAGAGGTGTGGCCCAAAAGCTTGCTTGTTTTTCTGGAAC